AGTGTTACTGCCTCGGAAACCCAAGGAGGGGTCGCTATGAGTCGGGTCCGACTCGATGGCACATAACAACAACAACACAAGTATCTGCATGGCATTGGTTTCAAGACGATCTTCCCTCTCAGACACCCAAATCTTCAGATGCTGAAGTCTCTTGTATAAAATGGTGTGTTATTGTTGCTGTGAGGTTCCATTGAGAGTAGGTTTTAACTCATAGGGGCCTTATGTACAACAGAAGGAAACACTGTCTGGTCCTGCACTGTCCTCACAATCATTGCCTTGCTTGAGCCTCACTGCAGCCAGTGTCAATCCATCTCATTGAGGGTCTTTCTCTTTTTCGCTGACCCTCCACTTTATTTACCAAGCATGACATCCTCCTCCAGGGACTGGTTCTGACAACGTGAACAAAGTATGAGACATGAAGTCTGGCCATTCTTGCCTCTAAGGAGCATTTCTGCTGTACCTCTTCCAAGACAGATTTGTTTGTTCTTCTGGCAGTTCATGGAATTTTCAATATTCTCCATCAACACCATAATTCAAAGGCATCAATTCTTCTTTGGACTTCCTTATTCAATGCCCAGCTTTCACATGCATATGGGGCTCCCAAAAATATTATGGTTTGGGTCAGGCATACCTTAGTCTTCAAAGTGACATCTTTGTTATTAACAGTTCAAAGAGGTCTTTTGCAGCACATCTGTTCAGCGCAATACGTCATTTGATCTCCTGATTGCTGCTTCCATGAGAGTTTACTGTGGACCCAAGTAAAATGAGGTCCTTGGCAATTTCAATCTTTTCTCCATTTATCGTGATGTTGCTTACTGGTCCAGTTGTAAGGACTTTTGTTTTCTTTATGTTGAGATGTATTTCATACTCAAGGCTTTAGGTTTTGATCTCATCAATAAGTGATAGACTCTTCTTCACTTTCAGCAAGCAAAGCTATGTTATCTGCATAATGCAGATTGTTTATGAGTCTTCATTCCAGTCCTAATGCTGCTTCTTGGATTATTTGCTCAGCGTTCCAACTGAATGAGTATGGTGAAAGGATATGACCCTGATGCACACCTTTCCTCATTTTTAAACATGCAGTATCCCCTTGTTCTGTTCAAGCAACTGCCTCTTGGTCTATGTACAGTTTGTCATGAGCAAAATTAAGTGTTCTGGGATTCCCATTCTTTGCAATGTTATCCATAATTTCTCATGGTCCACACAGTCAAAGCCTTTGCATAGTCAATAAAACACAGGTAAACATCATTCTGGTAATTATTTGCTTTCAGCCAAGATCTGTCTGACATCAGTAATGATATCCCTCATTCCATACTCTCTTTGGAATCTGGCATGGATTTCTGGAAGCACCCTGCGAGTATACTGCTTATAATAGTTTTTGAATTATCTTCAGCAAAATTTTACTTGAGTGTGACATTAATGACATTGATTTATAATTTCCACATTCTGTTGGATAACTTTTCTTTGGAATGGGCACAAGTACGGATCTCTTCCACTCCGTTGGCCAGGTCTTCCAAATTTCTTGGCATAAACAAGTGAGCGTCCCAGTACTGCATCCATTTGTTGAAACATCTCAATGGGTGTTCAATCAATTCCTGGAATCTTCTTTTTCACCAAATCCTTCAGCATAGCTTGGACTTCTTTCTTCAGTACCATCATTTCTTAAGTAGTGTGCTACTTCCTGAAATAGTTGAGCACTGACCAATTCTTCTTGGTATAGTGACTGTGCATTTGCATATTTCCATATGCATTTGGTGCTTCCTGCATCATTCAATATTTTGCCCTTTGAATCTTTCAACTCTTCTCCAAGCAACTTGAGGCTTGAATTTTTTTCGTCAAGTGTTTTCAACTTGAGAAATTCTGAGTGTGTTCCTCTCCTTTGATTTTCTAACTCCAGGTCTTTGCACATTTCATTATAGTACTTTATCTTCTTGAGACACCTTTTCAATTCTTCTGTTCAGCACTTTGACTTCATCATTTCTTCCACCAGCTTCTCTGCATTCAAGAGCAAGCTTCAAAGTCTCTTCTGACATCCATTTTGATCTTTTCTTTCTTTCCTGTCTTTTTAATGACCTTTTGCTTTCTTCATTTATTATGTCATCCCACGAGTAGTCTGGTCTTTGGTCACTGGTGTTCAGTATGTCAGATCTATTTTAAAGATGGTCTCTGACTTCATATTGGATATGACCAAGGTTGTATTTTGGCTCTATTGGACTTGTTTTAATTTTCTTTAACTTAAATTTAAACTTCATATGATCAGTTGATGATCTGTTCCACTTTTAATGGATGATATTAAGCTTCTCCATTGTTTCCACAGATATATTCTATTTGATTCCTGTATATTCTATCTGGTAAAGTCTACATGTATAGTCACCATTCTTGTTGTTGAAAAAGATACTTGTAATGAATAATTTGTTGGTCTTGCAAAATTCTACCATGAGATCTCCAATGTCATTTCTATCACCAAGGCCATATTTTCCAATGCTTCCTTGTTTCCAACTTCTGCATTCTAATCACGAGTAATTATCAGTGCATCTTGATTGCATGTTTGGTCTATTTCAGACTGCAGAAGTTGATAACAATCTTCAGTTTCTTCATCTTAGTGGTTAGTGCATATATTTGAGTAACAGTCATATTAACTGGTCAGCCTTGTAGGCATATGAATATTATCCTATCACTGATAGCATTCTACATCAGCATAGATCTTGCCTTTGAGGGATTGGTTTGATCACTTAATTGCTTTCTGCCTATCTTCCCCTACCCCTCTACCAGAATATTTTTGTTGGTTCAAACTGTGGATGCAGAATCTGCAAATAGGGAGGATTGACTGTATATTCATCACAGGACTTTGAAATATCTGTTATATACTTAGTATCTATGAGCTCTACTAGCGTAGTGCTTAAGGTACTTGACTGCTAACCAGAAGGCTGGTGGTTCAAACCCACCAGCTACTCCTTGGAAGGAAGGTTGGGCAATCTACTTCTGTAGTGATACCACCTCAGTAACTCAAGGAGGGGTCACTGTGAGTTGGGTCTGACTTGACGGCACATAACTACAACAACTACAACAACAACTTAGTACCTGGTTGCCAGCTTTCCAAACATAGTGTATTAAATACTGCTACAATTTAAGGATGAACTAGTTGACTCAGGTTTCCTTTAAAATATAAAGCACAATGACTACTTCAATCAATACAATTTTGGTACATAACCTGAAAATCCAGGTGAATTAATTTTAAGAGTTCATATGATTTACTTACATTATGAGCTTAGGAATTTTTGAATAAATCTCTACCTATAACCCTAGATGGTCTGACTGGAAGCTCTCTGAGGTTGATGTTTGGTTCCCCAGCATATTTCCTCACTTAAAATTATATGCCCGTACTCTGTCTGACATAGAGTAATCTTTCAACACTTACTTGTTGAGTGAATGGCATATGTCTATGCAAGTGATGAATCCTGACATAATTACCAAATCATTTAAATTTTCTAACATAATGTTGTGGTATATACAATAATGATATTCTAGACAGTGAGGACTTGGAGAAACATATTTATATCAAAAATGGGGAGGAAGAATCCTTGCTAATTAAAAGTTATTTCCATATTTAATACTCTCTCATGCTAATTTGTAGAGGAACTCTGACATTTCTAGTCTTAACTCACATGATTAATTTGTACATAGTTTGCTCCAAAATGTATTTT